CCCATTGTGTCTTAGTGGCTTTATTGCCTTGCAGGAAAGAGCAGAGTACAGCAAAAATAACTCAAAAACTTTCATACATGGAATTAGTTTGGCATGAGTAAACTCTTATGATAAAAATTTAATACATTTATTTTTATAATTTTCAAAAATCTTCCTTAGTATCATAAGAATCCCTTATACCATAGCCTCACTTCATTAGGTGTTGCTGTTGGTCCCCCAGCCAACTGGTTTTTAGAGAGTGGAGTTGCTAGTCCTACACACAACTGGTTTTGAATTTAGATGTATAAATGTATGAAGTTATGCTGTACATTAAAGAGATAAATTACTGATATTGTCTGCAGTAAGTAATTTTATGGAAGCAGATTTAAATTTACAAACAGAAATTAGAGAAGGAAAAACAAAAAATCATTTTAATTTGATTATAATTTGCACAATGTCGTTTTTTGTCAGCCATTGTATGGATAATTCTTTTATTTTTTACTGATGAGAATATGAAACATGGTTTTTACATGTTAGTTTGTGAAGTTTCCAGAGCTTTTTAAGTTTTTAGCAAAGGTTTTGATTTACAATGGAATTCTCATGCTAAACTGAACCCTTAATTTATGCCCATCAGATTAACTAAACTACCATATATATTTGTGTATAAGCCAACTTCATATATAGTGCAACCTCTGAATCATTTGACATGAATTCTAATCCTGCCAGAAAAAAAAAATTACTTGTGTATAGTGCAACCAGTCAACATGCTTCATTAGCTTGAAGACATTTTTTAACCATTGATCTGAGAAAGTGGTTGTATAAAACTTTAGATATTTCTAAATGAGTGTGGTGTCATGAGTTCACATTCATTTGAAATTCTCAATAAGACAAGACTGTTTTAGGTTAATGTTTTTGTTTTGTATCAATTTGCAATATTGGGTGAAATTTCTCTTCATAGAAGCTATTCTATGTTCAATTTCATTATCTCCTATAGTAAATTTGTTATAACAGATGTATACACTGAGGTATTTGAAGGGTTTAGTATTTACTAATTCTACCTCTCTAAGTTTTATGATGGATAGGTGCCATCACTGCTTTCATTCCAATTCTAGATCATATTTTTTGTTTTTGGAAAGGTTTATCTTGACTCCTAGTTCTAACAGACAATGGGAAAAAACAGCTAGTAACCTACTAAAATAGTTTGGGTGAATAGACAGCACAACAGAGACAAAAAGCGATGATAAGATTAAATAATTATTGAAGATTAAGACAACAAGACAGAAGTTGTGGAGAGCCATAGCAGCCTACATCTTGAAAGAACTCCTCATAAAAAAATAGAATCATGATCATGATCATCACCACCACAAACATCGCTACCACCACCACAACTACCACCATCATCACCACAACCACCATCATTATCACCACAATCACCATCATCATCACCACCACCACCACAACCACCATCATTATCACCACCACCACCACCGCCACCACCACCATCCTCATCATCATCATTACCATCACCACCACAAATACCACCATCATTATCACCACCACCACCATCCTCATCATCATCATTACCACTACCACCACTATCATCATCAGTAGGAGCCTGGCTGTGTGTGGTTCTGAACTTGCTGTACAGCTGAGTACTTGACTGGCTCCCTGTATATGTCTCAGTTGCAGGCAAAGGTTTGACTGTCAGTAACAGATTTAGGACAAATGAGGTGCTGTGCTAGTAAAGTTATGAGGCTCTTTAATTGGGCCCTAAAGAAGGTGAGTCCAGCATGCCTACATAGGAATGAAAAGAAAACAGTGGCCAATGGGTCCTTGTGCTTAAGCACACCTAAACACAATGGTAAATCAAGCACCGCTCTTCCAGTCCACTCAGTGATGTTGTCAGACCATCTAGCTGCCTCTTCTTTTGCCTAATGGTACCTTATAGGATGGCAGTGGAAAGTTTGTTGCTGCTCATGACATATCAATACCATTTCAACTTTCTCTTCTTGACAGTGGATATCAGGTCTTCCAACGGGCATGTTTCTTGTCTTATGACGTCTTATACTACGTCATGTGTGATGCAGTCTACTGATTTATAATATTGTTAATTACAAAAATGACAGGTATCAAATCCTGATTGAAGGTGTTATTGATTTTCTTGTCTTTTGAATGCCAGGTTATTTTGCCAGCTCACTGAATTAATCATAGATAAAATTTTATATGATAATTCTGCTTAACTGCCAAAAGGAACTCCATGATTTCCTTTTCTTTTTAGATCTGTAAATAATCCATTTCTATGATTATTCTTCAGAAAGAGGCTTGAGCATTTTTCTTTTGTCTTTCCAAAAGTTTTAAATTCAGAGTGGTCATTCTCTTAATGTTGTTTGTCAACTAAGGCTACAGAGCTGAGTCTACCTTGCTATTTAACCTATTATCTGGCAAGTGGATAAAAAAGAAATTTTTATATCATTCACAAATTGAAATGAACACAAGTTGCCGTAACCAGAATTTGAACTCAGATCATCAATTCCATTTTATACACAGTTCATCCACAAATCCAGTCAGTGCCGAATTAGTGTTTTAATAGCACCAATCAATAGTATTGTAATTGTAATGGTGAGATTAGCCATTCTAACATAAGGAAACATTCTGCATTCACTAACTGAAGAGTTAACATTACCGTCAGTTGAAATTTATATTTTGCTTAAAACAATTTTTCAGAAAAATAGACCACTGTTATCACAGTATTGATTGGGGTTTCCTTCCTAACCTTTTGTTTGAAGTAGTATGGAACTTTAACATCTTCAGAAAATAATAACATTTTCTCTTCAAGATACACGTGCTATCCATTTTCATCACTGGTTCTGTTAAAAGTCCTCAAATGATGTGGTTTCTCTTATTTGGCACAGGTCTTTGTTATTGTATAACACTATTCCATGATACCGTATGGAAGTCCTGGATCTTGAATCCATGACATCATTTATCTTGCTAACCATATATGTTGAACAAGTTTTTACAAGAGTGATATTGCTAATTTGGCACTTGTAATTTTTATTATTTTTATCCATTACTGGGAAGAGGCTAAGATTCCACTTCAAGTTTGAATTCAGAGCTATCCTTCTCCTTGAAAAATTTGTCCTATTAAGGATAAAGCACTCAGTCTGCTTTATTATTTTACCAAAAACTGTAAAGGAGGGAGAGAAGAGATGCAGCCATGCTCTTCCCACAAACTGCTTCAGCCAGAATTTGAGTTCAGTTTGCTAATTCCATTTTCCATGTTGTTAACCATTAAGCCACCCTCATTTTTTTCATGATAATCGGAAAGTAATTTCCTATGTCTAGAGCAAGGGATGTATATTTTAATAAGGATTAGAAAACTCAGGCAAAGTAAAAATTTGCAATGGCAACTGCAATGAAAGCAGAAGACAGGAGATTTCGTAAATCGTAACTTTGCAACAAAATTTGGGGGAGCGGAGAAGAAGAAAGAACACATAATTACTTCCTCTCAGATTTCGAGATAGCTTTAAAATAAATCTGATTTCCAAGTTTATTTAATTTCTCGTAATCCATTTAGGATGATGACACTACAGCTGTAAACCGGATTATTCTTTGCTCTCTTCTTGCAGAAGCCATTCCGATGATCGTATTAGCACTGGGAGATTTTTGTATCAATCACCAAAACCATGATTTCCCACAAATATCAAAGAAGATGTCAAAAAGCTTAAATCTCTAAAGAAATTCTAATGAACAAAAATCCTGCATTAAATGTGTAGAACTGTCTTTCAGAGTTTCCATTTCAGTAATAAACAAGACTGAAAGAAAATGAGAACAGTTTAAAATTCAATCATGGAAGATGTTTTCTTCGGCCACAACCATTACCATGCTATCTCTACACATTTCTAGTTTCCTATTTTTCAAAGGCATGAGTTTACGAGATGGATACTCACCCAGAAAAAGAAACTTGGTTAGTTAATTAACTGTTCTTGTTTAGTGGCATATCAACACCTCTATGGGTTATTTTATACTGAAATCTAAATATTTTATTTATTTTAGGATAAATAGTAATAGCTTTAGTGTTACTGATTAACTCATAGCTGCGAGTAGAATAGATGAATTTGTAGTGGTCTAGTTGTTTTCTCGGTCCATGTCAAATGTCAAGATTACCATATGTAGTGACTTGGTAATAAGAATGGACACTTGTAGATGTTTGTTTACGGCTGTGTGAATAACATGACCACACAATTTATATAAAACATTAAATACCACAAAGCATGAAATACAAGAAGGAACAAAATGGTTTTAAAACATAACAATGTATTTATTTGTGTGTTAATGTACATGCATAGAAGTTAAAGATCTGATGCAGTTATGTCTCAGACTGGGAATATTTTTACCTCTACTCACATAAGTTGGAGTAATTATTAAACTGTAGTTTTAGAAGAATATTCCAAAGAGAAAAGTTCTTGTTGCATGTTTGGAAATGTTCTATACGTTTGTAATGTAGGTTGGAAAAGTTTGTATGTACATGCATTCATGAATATGCTTTTAACGTCTGACTGTCCATGGTCGAGACGAGAATGCTGAAGATCACATCTTCTTAGGCGAATGTAGAAAGGAGAATGAGAAAGCAAGCTTGTGTCTGCTATTTATAGATAATGTAATCACGTGACAGGATCAAAAGAAATTGGCAGAGAACTTGACTGGGTTACGCACTGGAAAAAATATATTGTGTGTTGGTGGAATGCAATGCTTACTTGGGTGTTTATTGACCAATTAGAAGCTGATATCTCCTGAAAATATTTACTAAGCTGAGAAGGCTTTGATCTGTTTTTTTTTTTGCATAAAAATGTCACAAAATTATGCATTTATAAGAAAGTGGTAGCTGGTTGTTACAAATTCATACCTTTCCCAAGGATATTTGTGTGTAAGTGAATATAACAGACACATCTGAAATTGGAACAAAGCTCTCCAATTCACAATTCTTAGCCATACATTATTATACCACCTCCATATCTAAGCTTACAGCAACTGGTATTCCCAAGCAGTCACTCATCTAAGTACAGACCAGGCTCAACTTTGTTTATCTACAGTGATCATACAGAAACCAGTGTTTCAACATGATGTGTCTGTTTTTGTTCACTTGGTACCCATGGAATAAGAAAAAGGCATGAATCCAGTTTTTTCCTGCATTTATCATATATCTTGACAAATATCTCATTACTGATATTAATCCACAATGAATCAATTGCATCTGCAATAAGGTAACTCTCCTGTTAGTCTGAATGTTGACAACTGAACAAATGAAATATTTTCAATATGGCTGCCAGCATTTTATAGAAGCTGCCACCTGGTGGCACTAAACAGTAACCATAAGGCAAGATCATCTGACATGTCACAATAGTTTAGTGACCTTTTAAACAAATGACACTTTCATACCATATCTACTGTTGACAGAAATGTTTTTATAATGTAAGTTATTTAGATGAGTATCTTTACTTTTATTCTTTTTATTATATTTTGTTCAAGTTATACTTAAACCTGACAGCAGTAATTTCTTTTTTTTAAATATTAAAAGACAAGAAAATTTCATTAGAAATAAAGAGTGCTGAACTTTTATGTAATATTTATTCTCCTGTATGACAATGAATGCTAGATAATCTCCTCCAATATAAATAAGAGAATTGGAGCAACAAAATTATTGTTCTAATTATAAATGCTAACAGAGAGAGAACATGTAAACAATAGGGAAGTCTGAAATGTTATCAGTTCTGAACAATAATCTCTAAATTTATATTCATATCCAGTTCTTCTGCTGTCAGTCACACACATAATTTTGAATCTGTTTACATTTTCATCTGTTCTTTGGGTTTGTGGGCACCCACATTTTACATCATAAGGCACATCCTCTTTTTCTTTTGCTTGAACTTCCTGTTTCACTCAACAAGTTTGATCTCTTCATAACCTGTTCATGATAAGCTATTATCGATGGGGCTAATGTTTCACTAGCACATTATCAATCTTTGCATGAAACCCAATGTTAATCCAATACTTCAGATTTCTTTCACTCTTTTTTATGTCAAAACTATAAAATGAACACATAAAACTTCCTCTACTGCTTGGCAATAAATGAATTGTCTGGTCTGCATCTCAAGAAAGCAGATGTTGATACATCTCCAGACATGATCATTTACAAATTTTTGCCTGACTCAACACCCCAGTGATACACTGATCATTCTGAGAATTAGACTAAGCAATTAAGAAATTAGATTTCTTGGAGTAAGGTCTAATTTCATTTTATATTAAAATACCTATACAAGTCTGATAGATTTGCTGCAAAAAAATTATCTAAAACATAGTGAACCTCAGTCTATGATCTGCTTGAACTTATATCCCGATCTTTATTATTTCAATCCCTATATTTTAACAGTGCAATCACCAATCATTTATCTAAAGCGACTAATTACATTTTTTTTTAATTCTAGTAACTTTCAACACCAATCCAACTAGTACAAATCATAGATGCAAAATTTAATTTTACATGTGAAAAAATGAAATGGAATATGACATAAGTAGACGAGACATGCATTTGAGGAAGGCTGAAGAGCACACCAAATGTAGTAACAGAAACACTAAAGACTAGCATGCTTATCTAGATAATTCTTACAGTAAAATACTCTATCTTCAATACTTTAGACATCAACAGGAGGGCCAGAGATTACTCCAGCCAAGATATGACTACAATAAGTAAGATGAGGATCCTAATGCAAATAATAATAAAAAATATGATATCTAAGAATATCAGACAGCATTTTCAAAAATGGTGGTCTAAAAATTAAAAGCATAAAAATTGTTCCCCATGCTAATGGCTAATTTATTCTTTGTAAAAATCCTAAAAATGCTAAGGAGAATAACTCATGAAAGAAAATTAAGGAAAAAGACTGGTCAGTCTTGTACATGGATAAAATGGACAAAGGTTATAACTAGAAAAAAGTCGAAAGCAAACATTTTTTTACAATTACTAGAAGGCAAGCTGGTGATTAGAACTGGCTTTCAGCCAGTCACAAACTTAATAAAAGATGAGATTGAGGGTAAGTAAAATTTTATTGGCTGTATGAATTGGTTTTGCAATTTGATTGGTTATATGAACTGGTTTTGCAACCTAAAATTGTTTATTAAATCAGTTAAGCATCAGTACGTAACAAAGTTTCAGGTTTTTTTGTTTGACCAAAACACTGATTCTGGGTTGGTAGGAATCCATAGAAAAGCTGAACTTCTACTGTGAAGGTCTCAGTTTCATTGTTGCTTTGAGAGAGAGAAAAAATCCTAGCGAACAATTATTTCCCAAACTAACAAAAGAAGCAAATCTAAAGGCGAATTCATATTTAATCTGGCTTCCCAACTACATTATGTCTTCTATGAGATCAATATGACGGCAAAATATTTTTGAATAAGTAAAAAATATGTCCACTTCTCATAGAGAGAAAGTTGCTTATTGTGATTAGTTTGGGACAAAGTTTTTAGATAACAATAACCAGCTGATAGCATTAAGTAAAGGATGTAAAAAATAGAACAATTTGTATTCATTGGCATGAACAAGGTAAGATTATCAAAAATTAATAGAAAATTCGCTAATGTCTATGATTAATACCAAAAAAAGAAATTTCTTTAAACTTCTGAAAAGAAAAGTTTAATATACAGAGGGAATTGCGTATTGGGATCACTTGTGGGACAAAGTTTTTAAGATCACAATAACTGGCTGATAACATTAAGGAAAAGATATAAAGATTGAAACAATTTATATTTCATGTTATTAAACACATTTTGATAATGGAGTTTACATTATAAATGAAGTAAAGGAGCAATTTATTTCTTTAAGATTATGAAAAACAAAAACTTAAATATACTGGAGAAGAAAGATTATTTTATGACAAAGTCTTTAAAATACAAATAACCAGCTGATGTAAAAAATAGAACAATTTGCATTCATTGGTATAAACAAGTTTAGATTATCAAAAATTAATAGAAAATTCACCAATGCCAATGACATACATCCTTGTGCAAATTAACTGAAACAAAACGAATAATTCCGTTATTATTTACTTTTTTTTCATGCCTTTCCAATGAAAATCTGTTGCATATGTTAGTACTTTGTATGTCCATTCCACAAAGTCATTCCTTGCAGACTGACACAGATTCTTGATTGGATTTAAATCAGGAAAGTTTCCAGATCTGTCTATAGTACTGATTTGCTCACTGGTAAGGCTTGCCAATGTGTTTGTGCAGCATTACAATTTTCATACGTTTCCTTGGAGTAACATCCATCACAGACAATGGCCATAGGACAACTAATCAACAATCAAGACACTAGTATCTGAGTGTGTTATGATGTTAATTTGGGGTGACAAACGCCAAATAACACGTAACAATAAAAAGGGTTTTAATAGGTTGGTGAAAAGGTACAGAAATCGCCTGAGTAGTCAATAACTAGCTCAGCTAAGAACTTCTCGATCTCCCCCCACATGTCAACTGACATGCCACTATTTAAAGTCTTTGTTCACAGACAAGTTCATCTTCAAGAGGGGTGGTAGGTTTCCGACACAACAGAGTGTGATAAAAATCTGATGCAATATATTTTAAGGCCAAACAAATTTCACCATACACCCCAAAAAGAGATTCATATTACTGCACACCACTGCAAATGACCTAATCTGAGGAAAAAAAAAAGAAATCAATTGCACCCTGTCACTCCAGTAGGTTTAAAACTGATTGTGTGGTGAAAGAAAGGAAATTAAAGTGGTTGTTTCAATTAATTTTCACAAGGGTGTACTGAAGATCAATTTATTTCTAAAAAATGATGAAATGTAAATTTAAATATACAAAGGGAATTGCATATTTTGATCATTTGACACAAAGTTTTTTTAGATAACAGTAACTGGGTTAATTAAGCAAAAGACATAAAAATTGGAATAATTTATCTTCATCGGTACTAATAAGTTTAGGTGATCAAAATTAATACAAAATTTACTGATGTCTGTGATTTGTACCAAGTAATTTATTTAAAAATGTTAAAAAAAAATTAAACATACAAAGAAAGTTACTTACTGTGACCACTTTGAGACAATCCATAAAAAAGTTATAAAATTTTCCTCATAAATACCAAATAACAGGAGTAAATATGTTCACCTGTCATCCAGTTCAAACACCTTCCTGGTCTTTTGAACAGGAGTAGAGGTTTATCCCTTGTTCCCTGTTTAGGATTGGGTTTCCAGTTCCTTCTAAAGTCTTTTCATTCTCTTTCAATCCCAGCAGCCCCTTGTATCTTATTATTATATCTTGCATTATCGATTTGATAAGGGTGAATTGATTAAAAAAAAAGTATTCTAAACTGTTCTCTACAATTCCTAGGAAAGCAATTATCATTTTTGGACTTTTGTTGAAAATTGAACTTTTTGTTATTGATGATGCCCCCCAGAACATTTTGGCTGCTTCCTTCTTCAGCCTTCTTCATGTCTACTGGAAAGAGAGAGTTTCTTCTTCCAGTAGTACAAAAATAGTATACAGAAAATAGAAAATTCATTGCAACCAACACTGCTTGTTGTGCAAAACAACATTGCATAAAGAAGTGGATAGATTCACCTATCGACCGGTTCACACTCCTCTCCTGCCTTTGGAATAGGAGTAGAGTTTTATTCCTTGTTTCTTATTCAGTAATTGGTTTCCGCTTCCTTCTAAAGTCTACTTCAACTCTATGGTTCTAATGTCAACATCTGAAGCTCTGAACTTTTATTTGCTATTTATTTATTTTTCCTCAATAGGAGTAGATAGGTTTGCCTATCATCCGGTTCACGCTCCTTCCTGGTCTTTTGGACAAGAGTAGAGGTTTATCTCTTGTTTCCTGTTTAAGATTAGGTCTACTTCAACTCTATACTTTTAACATCACCGACTGAACTCTGAAATTTTATTCACTAATTATTATTATCTTTTTCTTTCTTCTCTCCCAATAGGAATAGATAAGTTCACCTATTGTCTTGTTCACTCTCCTCCTCAGTCTTTTGAACAGGAGAAGAGGTCTATCCCTTGTTTTCTGTTTCAGATGAGATTTCCACTGTTCATTCA